CATTTCTGCATTGCAGAGAGCTGATGTGTGTTATGAGATAATAAATCATGTGTGAACTTTCTCAGTTTAGCGGAATCATGAACATTTTCGGCGAGATGAATGTTTTGTATACAGTGGTGATCAAGGCTTTGCGAACCATCAGGAGCGGATCAAAGAATTTATGAATGAATAAAAACTATGGAAATGACGTACCAATTTTTTAATTTATACTTGCACTATCTAATGAAATGAATAATATACAAGTGATAGATATACAAGAAAACGCGAAATGATAATAAATGCAGCTGACAATCGTTATTTTTTTTTTATATAGATAAAATAAAATATTTATAAATTCAAGAGACAAAACAGAAGGAGAATGAATGATGGCAAAATATCACATGACGGGAACTGAATTTTATGAATGAAGATTTTAAAAAGTTACTTGTAAGTTGTATATGTTATATCTGTGTATTCTACTTGGCTGTGTGCTTCATAAAAAGAGGGGGGGGGGGCGTCTTGAACATAGTAAATAGCCATAACGTTTGAACGGTAAGTACTAGGGCTTTCGTATTTCAAATATGTAATCCTTGTGAAAAGAACTTTTATTGGATACGACGAACTTTGACCCTTTGACCTAGACCTTGGAGAACACATGTGTACATCTGAATCTTTTTTTCTGTTTCGTTTCTATGGCAACCGTGAGCGACTCATTACAATTATTTTGAAAGTAGAAATCACTTTGACACATTGCAAGGAATAAACATTGAAAGTTTCAAAACGATTGCCTGAGTAGTTATTGAGAAAATCGAAATTAAAGAATTTTAACTTTCACCTAGTTTCCATGGCAATAATCGATTATATGAAAATTTTAAATACGAGTTGCAGAACTACAGATACTAATCATTAAAATAAGAAAAGTTTCATGACGAACGTTTAAGGGACCAGAGAGAACACTCTCGGACAAAATTTGTCGCTTTTTACAGGTTTCCATGGCAACGGTAGACATATTGGAACTGAACGACCTCACTGCACAACTACAACCAGTGATCGTCCTTGAAGGAAAGTTTCAGGAAGATTGTCCCAGCCATCTCCGAGAAACAGCCTGGATAAAAAAAACATGCGTACAATATCAATATGTCGTCCCCGACTTCGTTCGGGGCGACATAATAACTCCTGAATTTTTCTCATCAATAACTCCTGAATTTTCCCCTTCAATTCGAGCATTTCTGCATTGCAGAGAGCTGATGTGTGTTATGAGATAATAAATCATGTGTGAACTTTCTCAGTTTAGCGGAATCATGAACATTTTCGGCGAGATGAATGTTTTGTATACAGTGGTGATCAAGGCTTTGCGAACCATCAGGAGCGGATCAAAGAATTTATGAATGAATAAAAACTATGGAAATGACGTACCAATTTTTTAATTTATACTTGCACTATCTAATGAAATGAATAATATACAAGTGATAGATATACAAGAAAACGCGAAATGATAATAAATGCAGCTGACAATCGTTATTTTTTTTTTATATAGATAAAATAAAATATTTATAAATTCAAGAGACAAAACAGAAGGAGAATGAATGATGGCAAAATATCACATGACGGGAACTGAATTTTATGAATGAAGATTTTAAAAAGTTACTTGTAAGTTGTATATGTTATATCTGTGTATTCTACTTGGCTGTGTGCTTCATAAAAAGAGGGGGGGGGGGCGTCTTGAACATAGTAAATAGCCATAACGTTTGAACGGTAAGTACTAGGGCTTTCGTATTTCAAATATGTAATCCTTGTGAAAAGAACTTTTATTGGATACGACGAACTTTGACCCTTTGACCTAGACCTTGGAGAACACATGTGTACATCTGAATCTTTTTTTCTGTTTCGTTTCTATGGCAACCGTGAGCGACTCATTACAATTATTTTGAAAGTAGAAATCACTTTGACACATTGCAAGGAATAAACATTGAAAGTTTCAAAACGATTGCCTGAGTAGTTATTGAGAAAATCGAAATTAAAGAATTTTAACTTTCACCTAGTTTCCATGGCAATAATCGATTATATGAAAATTTTAAATACGAGTTGCAGAACTACAGATACTAATCATTAAAATAAGAAAAGTTTCATGACGAACGTTTAAGGGACCAGAGAGAACACTCTCGGACAAAATTTGTCGCTTTTTACAGGTTTCCATGGCAACGGTAGACATATTGGAACTGAACGACCTCACTGCACAACTACAACCAGTGATCGTCCTTGAAGGAAAGTTTCAGGAAGATTGTCCCAGCCATCTCCGAGAAACAGCCTGGATAAAAAAAACATGCGTACAATATCAATATGTCGTCCCCGACTTCGTTCGGGGCGACATAATAACTCCTGAATTTTTCTCATCAATAACTCCTGAATTTTCCCCTTCAATTCGAGCATTTCTGCATTGCAGAGAGCTGATGTGTGTTATGAGATAATAAATCATGTGTGAACTTTCTCAGTTTAGCGGAATCATGAACATTTTCGGCGAGATGAATGTTTTGTATACAGTGGTGATCAAGGCTTTGCGAACCATCAGGAGCGGATCAAAGAATTTATGAATGAATAAAAACTATGGAAATGACGTACCAATTTTTTAATTTATACTTGCACTATCTAATGAAATGAATAATATACAAGTGATAGATATACAAGAAAACGCGAAATGATAATAAATGCAGCTGACAATCGTTATTTTTTTTTTATATAGATAAAATAAAATATTTATAAATTCAAGAGACAAAACAGAAGGAGAATGAATGATGGCAAAATATCACATGACGGGAACTGAATTTTATGAATGAAGATTTTAAAAAGTTACTTGTAAGTTGTATATGTTATATCTGTGTATTCTACTTGGCTGTGTGCTTCATAAAAAGAGGGGGGGGGGCGTCTTGAACATAGTAAATAGCCATAACGTTTGAACGGTAAGTACTAGGGCTTTCGTATTTCAAATATGTAATCCTTGTGAAAAGAACTTTTATTGGATACGACGAACTTTGACCCTTTGACCTAGACCTTGGAGAACACATGTGTACATCTGAATCTTTTTTTCTGTTTCGTTTCTATGGCAACCGTGAGCGACTCATTACAATTATTTTGAAAGTAGAAATCACTTTGACACATTGCAAGGAATAAACATTGAAAGTTTCAAAACGATTGCCTGAGTAGTTATTGAGAAAATCGAAATTAAAGAATTTTAACTTTCACCTAGTTTCCATGGCAATAATCGATTATATGAAAATTTTAAATACGAGTTGCAGAACTACAGATACTAATCATTAAAATAAGAAAAGTTTCATGACGAACGTTTAAGGGACCAGAGAGAACACTCTCGGACAAAATTTGTCGCTTTTTACAGGTTTCCATGGCAACGGTAGACATATTGGAACTGAACGACCTCACTGCACAACTACAACCAGTGATCGTCCTTGAAGGAAAGTTTCAGGAAGATTGTCCCAGCCATCTCCGAGAAACAGCCTGGATAAAAAAAACATGCGTACAATATCAATATGTCGTCCCCGACTTCGTTCGGGGCGACATAATAATAATAAGAATAATAATAATAAGAAACAGAGTAAAAACAATATGTTCCCCAACTTCGTTTGGGGAACATAACTAGATACGATCTCGTTGCGAGCAACGAGATGGTCTTCCGTCTGATTCAGGAAAAAAACTTGTAAAATCAAACTAAAAAGTGATTCAAAATTTTGATCACAAGGAGGAGTGAATCTAGGTCGGCAACGTGAATGCGCCTTTTTTTTCTCTCTTTTCTCCCCAACGCGCGAACCATTTAGCTATTGGGAATACTGCTTTAAATATACTTCTGTATACTTTTGCAACAGTACACCTGTCTTAGAATCATAAAAGGCGGGCCACTATTCATAATTTCGTGTCAAACGCCACTCGTAAATATTCGCACCTTTTCTTTGTACTGATCTATTAAAGAGGTGCAATAGCTTCAATGAAATTAATTAAATAAAACATTCTTATCACCTTTATTTCATTTCGGCGTTAGGAAAGTATATATAACACATTGTACACATTACATATCGTATCTAGCCCAGTAATACTAAAGCAGTGAAACGTAAATTAAGTTTTTTAAGATTGACACTGAATTGCAACGTACTACTACGTGAGAGTCCAAGTAGGTTTTTGCATTTCATGTATCCTTATGTCAGAATGGTTTAATCAAACGCTCAGCTGCCTCCATAAGCCCCTACTCGCGAAATGTCGGAGTTGACAGAGACAGCCGCCATCTTGGGCCCGCTTCAGATTTTCAAATATTAATATCTAAAGTTCAGATTAACCAATATTAAAACAACTTATATAGTAAGCATCAATAGAAGTGTCTCTATTAATATTCCAAAAATAAATGAAAAATATTGAAAAACAAAGAAAGTTGAAAATTTGGACTTTTTGAATTGGCTTCCGGTAGCGACAGGAAGTACTGACGACGAACGAAAAGTTGCGTCCTGGAAAGTATTGATCATCATCTATAAATTCTGAAAGTTTCACATTGATATCTTTTACCGTTTTTGAGTTTAATCGTGGACAAAATGTCGTTTTAAAATCAGGAAAATGGTCCAAAACTTGGCACCAGAGAGGAATTTCCAAAAACTGTCTTGGAACTTTCAAGAGTATTTTACAACACATCTTTCCTGAAAATTTCATGTAATTCTATCCAGTAGTTGTCGAGAAATCGTGTCAGAAAAATAATAATAATAATAATAATAAGAAACAGAGCAATAACTATAAGGTCTTCCGTGAAGACGGAAGACCTTAATAATAATAAGAAACAGAGTAAAAACAATATGTTCCCAAACTCCGTTTGGGGAACATAATTAGAATACATTAATCTCTGTAATCCTACATAACATGAATTCATCAGATACATGTATGTAATATCATATGTGAATTCATATTCTATTTTCTCAAAGACAAACCCCATTTGCTGTACTTTTTCATTAAAACATGACTTTTTTTGTATATAGGATACAGTGAATTTTTGAGTGAGCATGTGGGGTCAGAGGTTAAGAACCTTGGGCGGGGTGTGTACCATTCCTCCTCACGACGGCTTGGCATGACTTCCACTCGCAGCAAGATGGTGGATTCCATACCAACATTTCTTCAGAGGCAGTATGACACATGTAAACAGCCAGGACTAAGGCCAGGGCTGGCAGGTATTAATATTGCGGTAAACACCCAGTACAATGGGCTGGCAGTTATTAGTATTACTGTATGACACATGTAAACAGCAAGGACTAAGGCCCAGACTGGCAGGTATTAGTATTACAGTAAACACCCGGGACTAAGGCCCAGGCTGGCAGGTATTAGTATTACTGTATGACACATGTAAACAGCAAGGACTAAGGCTCAGGCTGGCAGGTATTAGTATTACAATTAACACCAGGGACTAAGGCCCAGGCTGGCAGGTATTAGTATTATAGTATAACACATGTAAACAGCCAGGACTAAGGCCCAGGCTGGCAGGTATTAGTATTACTGTATGACACATGTAAACAGCCAGGACTAAGGCCCAGGCTGGCAGGTATTAGTATTACAATTAACACCAGGGACTAAGGCCCAGGCTGGCAGGTATTAGTATTATAGTATGACACATTTAAACAGCCAGGACTAAGGCCCAGACTGGCAGGTATTAGTATTACTGTATGACACATGTAAACAGCAAGGACTAAGGCCCAGGCTGGCAGGTATTAGTATTATAGTATGACACATGTAAACAGCCAGGACTAAGGCCCAGGCTGGCAGGTATTAGTATGATAGTATGACACATGTAAACAGCCAGGACTAAGGCCCAGACTGGCAGGTATTAGTATTACTGTATGACACATGTAAACAGCAAAGGACTAAAGCCCAGACTGGCAGGTATTAGTATTATAGTATGACACATGTAAACAGCAAGGACTAAGGCCCAGGCTGGCAGGTATTAGTATTACTGTATGACACATGTAAACAGCCAGGACTAAGGCCCAGGCTGGCAGGTATTAGTATTACTGTATGACACATGTAAACAGCCAGGACTAAGGCCCAGGCTGGCAGGTATTAGTATTACTGTATGACACATGTAAACAGCAAGGACTGAGGCCCAGGCTGGCAGGTATTAGTATTATAGTATGACACATGTAAACAGCCAGGACTAAGGCCCAGGCTGGCAGGTATTAGTATTACAATTAACACCAGGGACTAAGGCCCAGGCTGGCAGGTATTAGTATTATAGTATGACACATGTAAACAGCCAGGACTAAGGCCCAGGCTGGCAGGTATTAGTATTACTGTATGACACATGTAAACAGCAAGGACTAAGGCCCGGGCTTGCAGGTATTAGTATTACAATTAACACCAGGGACTAAGGCCCAGGCTGGCAGGTATTAGTATTACTGTATGACACATGTAAACAGCAAGGACTAAGGCCCGGGCTGGCAGGTATTAGTATTACAATTAACACCAGGGACTAAGGCCCAGGCTGGCAGGTATTAGTATTACTGTATGACACACATAAACAGCCAGGACGATAAGGCCTGTACTAGCAGGTATTAGTATTATAGTATGACATAATGTAAACAGTCAAGACTCACGCTCGGGCTGGCAGGTAATAGTATTAGGGTAAAACAGCCAGGACTAAGGCCTGGACTGGCTAAGGCCCTGACTGGCAGGTATTAGTATTACAGTATTGCTGAGAAAGAAAAGAGAATTTACTCTTTTTTTTGTGGGTAATTAAAATATGCAAAGCCTTTTATAAGCAAAGTGAAGAAAAAGTTAAAAAGAACTCTCTTGGATAATTTATTTTTTACTATTAGAAATTTTCATGGAAATCGAGTAAAATGTTTTCACCTTGACCTTTAATGAAGTGACAAAACAATCTCCTTGGCTCATTTTCTACCCATATAGAAATTATGGCACAGAATAAGTATATGTACATGTATTTAGTAGTCCATAATAAGAATATTTTCTCTGTGTTTATTTTGTTTTGTCTATAGCGGGACTTTTGTTTTGTTATGATCCTCCCCAGGAAGTTGGAAGAGACGGGAGACCCAGAAAACATTACACCATTACCCACAGCAAAAACTTCCAGCACATGTTTACTACACTGCTTCACGAGGTGTTTTGTTAATTACTGTAAACGTGTTACATTTGGCTGTGTATTCATTTAGTGCCTTTTGGCGGACAGAAATGTCCTCTAATTCAGGTACACGCCAAATGTCTTGCACATATACACATAAATAAGTACATTAACGAATGCGCAAAATCATTTCTCCACTAACTTGTTAAAAACTCAATTTCCGCAAAATATTGCACAGGCCAAATATGATACATTTACAGTATTCTATGCACTATATATACATAAAATAAGTTTGTCTCTATTTTATGTTTACCATCACATAGATATCATGATATATAATATGTTGACTGTGCGACCGTTAGAGCGAGCGCAGATACTTGTCCAGTTTTCATTTAAATCGGACTCCTCAAACCGCACGTGACATTTGGTGTGTATAAGACTCTGACATCACATGACATCGTTTGCATGCTGCTTTACCAAACCGAAGCCTGAACAGGGCTGATTTCAAAAAGTTTAAGATTATTTTTCTGCAATAAACAGATAAATTCATTAAATCAACTAAGGCAAGTTTATTTTTCTTTTAACGTTTGTCATTATTCTCGTGAGAACGTGCCTTTAGCGTTTGTGCACGAAGCGATGCATTGTGGGTCAAAATTACTGCGTAAAAAAATTCTATGGAATGAATGTGCAGTATTCCGAATTTTCTCTTAGCCCAGGTGTTGTCATTAGAGCTCGCAGTTACGAGCGTCGCTTTGCGACGCTCGCTGCGCTCGCTATTAAAAACTGTGAATTTGAAATACAGCAAAAGGAAACCAATTTTGTGTATAAACAATTAAAAGGAAGTTACGAAAAATTATGCAATTATAACTCTTCTTTTTTATTAGAAGGCCAGAAAAAAAATACATTTTAGAAATCTGATGTAAATATTATATTTTCCACCAAAAAAAACCAAATTAGTTAATAAACTTTATGTAGGAGAATTGCTCACTTTGCCGGCACTGCTTGATGTTTAATTATTTCCCCTGTTTTAAGGTGACAATCCAGCCCTCCAATTGGCAGCAGTTGATGCAGCTCCCACAGGCCTGGGTAGCCTTTATGGACCGGCTGTTCTTGTCAGCTGTTGAGGTATGTAAATAGCCAACAATTAGTTTTAGATTGGCAGTTCTCATCAGCTGTCAAGGTATGCAAATGGTCATGAATTAGATGTTTGACTGACTATTCGCATCAGCTATTGAAGTATGCAAATAGTCACCAATTAGATTGCACATGGTGGGTGTGATCGATTATTTGTGTATATGATGTAAGAACAGTGATAAGTTCTGTAATCATGTGACTGGATAAATGTGTACATGATGTAATAACAATGATATCTTCTGTTATCATGACACCAGAATGTGTACATGATGTAGGTAACAATAAAAGTTTTGTAATCATGAGACCAGAATGTGAACATGATGTGATAACAATGATATATACAGTTAATTCTTGATAAACCGCCACCTTTTGTAATTTAGAAATCATGGCGGTATAACGAATTTGGCAATGAATTGAATTTCCCATCTTTTAGGAAACAAGAAGTAGAGTTACCGTTCTTAGAAATACCATTTAGCGTTTCTATTCTTATTATTACATGTACATGTATATAAAAACATATTTCTAAATTTGAAAATACTTCAAGTGATTTTTTATGTACAATTTCGCTAAAACAAAATGTGCAGTTATAAAATAAAGACAAGTACATGTGTTTGCATGTATAAATATGCACGTCTGATATTGAACAAAAAAACATCTTGGGTCGTTCGTCGTGATATATTGCCGATAGTACGTAAAATGAATTCTTGAATAAATTCATTGTTTATGGCATCATTGTTAATGAAACGTTCACAATTTATACCGTATAATTATTTTGAAGTTTAAAGCAGAGATGCTCAAAATAATATCGTTATTGGTGTACTTTAACAACGGCCGCTTTCGTGGGGAAGCCATGACTAAATGATTTTTTATTAAACAGAAAAACAAAATGATTATAACAGTATATGTTAAATTTATTGTTTATTTAATTCTTATTTAATTATTTAATTGCATGTACCTTGTCTGGGTTTGCATGCTTTACAACAGGGATAGCTTCAACCAATTAGCTGCGCTTCACTGACCACATGCACCTGTGACAGCATGTCGAGAAAATTGACACTTAAAAATGGACGTTTGTTGTGAAAACAGGGTGGCGGTATGCAAATCTGGCGTTATAAAGAGAATTTTATATAGCATGAAAAACGTACTTTTGAAATCAAAGCGGTATTGCGAAAATGGTGATGATTCAAATGGCGATAATTCGAGAATTGACTGTATTCTGTAAACATGATATTAAGCAGTTTTTTAAGCATGGCTCATGGTTGATTATCTGTATTGTGTAGCGACTCTAAATTAAAACTGCAAACAAGTGTTTCTTGTGTGTGAAGATCTTTAGCACCACACACACAAAAAAATGCCTATATGGACAGAACATAGCTAGACTGACATATCTAATTGTTTCATCACAAGGGATCTTTCATTGCATATTGATATAGTTCATTGATAACCAGGGAGAGAAAGTTTGATTTAATAATTAGTTTGAGTTGAAATTTCCTTTTTACTTTGTTAACTGCATGTTAATTACATTCAGAATTTAAAATTCAATTATTTGTTTACTTTCTATTTGCTAGTACACATCTTGCTTTTCTATTGGTGATGCATGTTTTGATTTAGTTTGTTTTATTTTGAAAGGGACGTAAAGCAGAGATTGACCTTCAATTGAAAAAGGATCACATTGGAGAGGAAGAGGCTTTGGAGAAACAGAAAGTAGCATGGCTCTGGTAAATGTGAAATTACATGTACAGTAAAACTCAGATATATAGAACTCACTTATAACAATGATGATGGTTAGAAAGAAATTTTTTTATTTATCAATCCTATGGAGGACTGTGCAAAATGTTCCTATTCAGATAAATATATAGAATTTTGGAAGTACAGTGTATGGAGGCAGAAATCAATGTCCCAATTAATTTTAACAAAACTTGTTTCTTCAACATCGATTTATTTCATATTACCGGTAATACAATTTAGTGTAGCTCTGCTAAACTTGGGACAAATGTTTAAAAAATTAATGATTTTTTAAAAATTCATTTCTAATTAACACTGAGTTTGATAATTCCTTATTGTGGCCCTCCCTACTCCCCAGGGGGGATTGAATAGTAAAAAGTTAATAACTCTTAAGAAACAATATTTTAAATTCCTATTTTATGATAGAAGTCTTCATAATGACCTGTTTTTACAGAGAGAAACGAGCGACAACTCTGCATGGTAGATTGGCACGAAACATGAGGTCAATAAAACTGCAGAAAAGGCAGTTAAACTTGTTTCATGCATCATATTTAACAGGTCGAAGGATGTTAGTGTAATGAGCATTTGATAAAACTTTTAAGTTTAAAGTATATGCTGACAAATGACTTAATGTCTGACTTTTTAGGTCACCTGAGTAAACTCAGGTGACCTATTGCTATCACTTTTCGTCCGTCGTCGTTCGTCGTGCGTCGTGCGTCGTGCGTTAACATTTGAACATTTTCAGCTTCTTCTCTGAAACCACTGAACCAATTTCAACCAAATTTGGCATATAGCATCTATGGGTGAAGGGGAACAAAAATTGTGAATTTCATGGGCCCTGCCCCCCTGGGGCCTGGGGGGTGGGGCAAAAACCACTAAAATTAGTGCAATCTTTAAAAATCTTCTTCTTTACTCCTGGACATCAAGCAGTCAAACTGTTTGCATGATTGTAATCAGCATTGAGTCCTCTACCAAAATTGTGAAATTCATGGCCCCGGGGTCAGGGGTTCTGGTGTTAGGGTGGGGCTCTATAGATTATATAGTGAAAATACATAAATTCTTTGAAAATCTTCTTCTCTGCTCCTGGGTATTAAATAAACTAACTAAGTGCATAGTTATGATGAGCAAGAGTGCCTCTACCAAAATTGTGAATTTTATGGCCCCAGGGTCAGGGGTTCTGGTGTTAGGGTGGGGCTCTATAGATTATATAGTGAAAATACATAAATTCTTTGAAAATCTTCTTCTCTGCTCCTGGGTATTAAATAAACTAACTAAGTGCATAATTATGATGAGCAAGAGTGCCTCTACCAGAGTTGTGAATTTTATGGCCCCAGGGTCAGGGGTTCTGGTGTTAGGGCGGGGCTCTATAGATTATATAGTGAAATTTCATGAATTCTTTGAAAATCTTCTTCTCTGCTCCTGGGTATTAAATAAACTAACTAAGTGCATAGTTATGATGAGCAGGAGTGTCTCTACCAAAATTGTGAATTCTATGGCCCCAGGGTCAGGGGTTCTGGTGTAAGGGGGGGCTCTATAGATTATATAGTGAAAATACATGAATTCTTTGAAAATATTCTTCTCTGCTCCTGGGTATTGAATTAACTAACTAAGTGCTTTGTTATGATGAGCAAGAGTGGTTCTACCAAAATTGTGAATTCGATGGCCCCAGGGTCAGGGGTTCTGGTGTAGGGGGGGGCTCTTTAGATTATATAGTGAAAATACATGAATTCTTTGAAAATCTTCTTCTCTGCTTCTGGGTATTAAATAAACAAAATAAGCAGTCAGGGGTGGTACTGAAATCAGTCATTTTTGAAAATGATGGATAATGGTCATTTCTTCTAAGTATATAATGTACACAATTTTCTGATTTTTGTAAATATGACGTCTTTTCATCATATTTCCATTCTCAAGTCAATTTTCCCATCCCATTTACTACAGTAATTAGATATAGTACACTATCCTGCCATAGACCCTTGTGTAGAGAAACATCTTGACAAGTAATTGAAACCAAAATAATTTAGTGCGCCCCGTAAAACTAATGAGATAATTAAGTGCGCCCAGACCTAACAATTTGATAAAAAATGATGAAAAACAGTCATTTTTAATATCAGAGATAACTCTATTTCTAAAATAAATTTCAAAATAGAAATGACTGTTTTTCATCATTTTACTAAAAAATGATGAATTTCCATCATTATTAAAAATCAATTTAATGACTGAAAATCATCATTTTTAAAAATGATGGATTTCAATCACACCCCTGACTGATAAGTGCATAGTTATGATGAGCAAGAGTGCCTCTTCCAAAATTGTGAACTTTATGGCCCCAGGGTCAGGGATTCTAGTGATAGGGTGGGGCTTTATTGATTATACAATAAAAATACACTAAATCTTTGAAAGTTTTCTTCTCTGCTCCTTGGTATTAAGCAGATGAACTACCTATGTAGTTATGATGAGTAAGGGTCCTAATCTTCCAGAATTGTGAATTTCAAGGCCCCAGGGTCAGGGGTACCATAAAGAAGGGGGGGCTGTACTTATATATTGAAACTGGATGAATTGTTTGAAATCTGCTCCTTGGTATTTATCAAATATTTTTGAAAAGCAAGGGTGCCTTTTCAAAAATTGTGCAATGTGTGGATCTAGGCCTAAGGGTCAGGGGTTCATGTGTGATTGGGGCATTACTGATCATGCTGAATATTACTGATTACTTGAAATGCATTTTTTGTTCCCCTACCCTGCCTATGGGTATTAAGTAAACAAACTAAGCAACTGCTAAGTGTATTGTTATGATGATCAATGGTGCCTATTTCAAAATTGTGAATGCCATAGCATCTGGATTAAAACATGAATCAAATTCAATCACTGGAAAGTTGTTGCATAATGCTCAGGTGACCTATAAGGCCCATGGGCCTCTTGTTAACCCAATATGACATGTATCGTGATATGTATCTTATCGTGAACTGAGTACCGTGATACGTATCATATCGTTGGGTAGGCATATCATTGCACCTTTACATTTGGCCGCTCTTCTCCTTTTAATTTGACATTATTTTGTTCAATATACAACTATAGTTTTCTTAAATGCAATGAACAAACATGCGCTGGCTATGTATTCAGACAATGAAAAACATGTGACCCTGATTATCTATTGATATTCATCTTTTCAGGCCCCATGCCTTCCACTATTCCTCAAAAAGAATGTTTTGAATTCTTATCAAGAATGCACAATTAAGATATTGAGGGTTTATATGATGGAAAGCAATGAACATTTTATAAAACTTTTATTTACTTCATTTTTATACCCCATGCACAAGTTGCGGGAGGTATAATGTTTTTGACCCGTCCGTCAGTCGGTCAGTCCGTTAGTCCTATTTTTTGTCAGCGCAACTCCTCATAAACCACTGCACAGAATTTGGTCAAACTTTGCTTATATTTAGGACACAATGTATAGATGTGCATATTACCAGGAAATTTGTATTCCTTTATTTTTTAATTTCAGCACTTTTCAACTTGAATAGATTTTTGGCCTTACCTTGCATATGGAGATGAGGAACAGTTTTGTGATGACTGAACAGTTTTTTAGCCCAACATCTTATAAACCACTGCACACAATTTGGTCAAACTTGGCATATATTTAGAAAACAATGTGTAAATGTGCATATTACCAGGGAATTTGTATTTCTTTATTTTTTCCGGGAATTTCGGCACTTTTCAACTTGAATAGATTTTTGGCCATACCTTGTTAGCTCTACTGGTCAGAGACCAGAAGAGCTTATGCGATGGTAATGCGTCAGGCGTCTGTCTAGCTTTCTGTCTGTCCGTCTGTCTGTAAACAATTTTTGAAAATGCTACTCCCCCTACAGTTTTGGTCTGATTTCAGTATAAACTTGGCACACAAGTAGACTACATTAAGATACAGAATTCTGTGTATCGGTTTTTGATTTCGATGAACGATGTTGCCCTGGTTACTAAAAATAGAAATTTCTGTAAAATTGTTTCAAAATGCTACTCCCCCTACAGTTTTGGTCTGATTTCAATATAAACTTGGCACACAAGTAGACTACACTAAGATACATAATTCTGTGTATCGGTTTTTGATTTCGATGAACGGTGTTGCCGTGGTTACTAAAAATAGAAATTTCCATAAAATTGTTTCAAAATGCTACTCCTGCTACAGTTTTGGTCTGATTTCAATATAACTTGGCACACAGGTAGACTACACTAAGATAAGTAATTCTGATTATCGATTTTTGATTTCGATGAACTATTTTGCTGTGGTTACTAAAAATAGAAATTTCTGTGAAATTCTTTCAAAATGCTACTCCTCCGACAGTTTTGGTCTGATTTCAATATAACTTGGCACACAAGTATACTACACTAAGATACATAAATCTGTATATCGGTTTTTGATTTCGATGAACGGTGTTGCCGTGATTACTGAAAATAGACATTTCTGTAAAATTGTTTCAAAATGCTACTCCTCCTACAGTTTTGGTCTGATTTCAATATAACTTGGCATGCAAGTAGACTACACTAAGATACATAATTCCTTCAATCGGTTTTTGATTTCGATGAACGGTGTTGCCGTGATTACTGAAAATAGACATTTCTGTAAAATTGTTTCAAAATGCTACTCCTCCTACAGTTTTGGTCTGATTTCATTTTAACATGGCACACAAGTAGACTGCACTAAGATACATAATTCTATTTATCGGTTTTTGATTTCGATGAACGATGTTGTTGTGGTTACTAAAAATAGAAATTTCCATAAAATTGTTTCAAAATGCTACTCCTCCTACAGTTTTGGTCTGATTTCAATATTACTTGGCACATAGACTACACTAAGATACATAATTCTGTATATTGGTTTTTGATTTCGATTAACATTGTTGCCGTGGTTACTAAAAATAGAAATTTCTGTGAAATTTCTTTCGAAATGCTACTCCTGCTACAGTTTTGGTCTGATTTCAATATAACTTGGCACACAGATAGACTACACTAAGATACGTAATTCTGTTTATCGATTTTTGATTTCGATGAATTATTTTGCTGTGGTTACTAAAAATAGAAATTTCTGTGAAATTCTTTCAAAATGCTACTTCTCCTACAGTTTTGGTCTGATTTCAATATAACTGTGCACACAAGTAGACTACACTAAGATACATAATTCTGTATATCGGTTTTTGATTTCGATGAACGATGTTGCTGTGGTTACTAAAAATAGAAATTTCTGTAAAATTGTTTCAAAATGCTACTCCTCCTACAGTTTTGGTCTGATTTCAATATAACTTTGCATGCAAGTAGACTACACTAAGATACATATTTCTCTTTATCGGTTTTTGATTTCGATGAACGGTGTTGCCGTGGTTACTGAAAATAGACATTTCTGTAAAATTGTTTCAAAATGCTACTCCTCCTGCAGTTTTGGTCTGATTTCATTTTAACTTGGCACACAAGTAGACTGCACTAAGATACATAATTCTATTTATCGGTTTTTGATTTCGATGAACGATGTTGCCGTGGTTACTAAAAAAAGAAATTTTTGTGAAATTTCTTTCAAAATGCTACTCCTCCTACAGTTTTGGTCTGATTTCATTATAACTTGGCACACAAGTAGACTATACTAAGATACATAATTCTGTATATCGGTTTTTGATTTCGATGAACGATGTTGCCGTGGTTACTAAAAATAGAAATTTCTGTAAAATTGTTTCAAAATGCTACTCCTCCTACAGTTTTGGTCTGATTTCAATATAACTTGGCACACAAGTAGACTACACTAAGATACATAATTCCTTCAATCGGTTTTTGATTTCGATGAACAGTGTTGTCATGGTTACTAAAAATAGAAATTTCTGTAAAATTCAATATAACTTGGCACACAAGTAGACTACATGAAGAACATAAAGAGACTTTATCAAGGATCATTATTCTATTTTTTGCTGTTGTAAAGCTTCAATTCCCAACTGCTGATTACTTTTCTCTTCCTTTGCTATAAGTACAAACCAGTAGAGCTTCATTTTTGACAGAGACTTCTAGTATATAGAGATGAAGAACAGTTTTGAGATGACTGAACAGTTTTTTAGTGCAACATCTCATAAACCGCTGCACACAATTTTGTCAAACTTTGAAGATATCTAGAACACAATGTGTAGATGTGCATATTACCAGGAAATTTCCATTCCTTTATTTTTTCTGGGAATTTCAGCACTTTTCAACTTCGATTTTTGGCCATATCTTGAATATAGAGATGAACAATTTGTCAGTGCAACTCCTCATAAACTGTTGCACACAATTTTGTCAAACTTTGCAGATTTTTAGGACACAATGTGAAGATGTGCATATTATCAGGAAATTTTGATTCCTCTATTTTTTCCAGTATTTTCAGCACTTTTCAACTTAGATTTTTGGACATATTTTGAATATAGAGAAGAACAGTTTGTCAGCACAACTCCTCACAAACCGCTTCAAAGAATTTTATCAAACTTTACAGACATTTAGGACACAATATGTAAATGTGCATCAGGAAATTCTGATTCCTTTATTTTTTTCAGGATTTTCAGCACTTTGAATTTTGGGGGAGCATGGGGTATGTGAGCTTGCTCACTTTTTCTTTCATTTCTGGACAGTTAAATCTACCCATTCTTTGACTGCATCAGTGTGTGTGCGTTTTTTTAAAAAGAATTCTTACACAATGTTTTTTCTTCTACAGGGTGAGAGACAAGTTAACTGATTTGATCAAAACAGCATCTAGGTAAGTAGGAACATGCTAACTGATGTAGTTGCACTTTCCAATACTGTTTTCAGGGAATTTTTCGCCCCCGTTTTATTTTCGCTGTTGTCGCATTTGTGTGAATTTAAAATGGGGGGAATTTAAAAAAATGGCATTAACTCTTAATTAGAACTGTGTTTGGGCGAATTCAAAATGGGGCAAAATCTTTTGTGTAAAAGGACAAAAATTAGATGGGGTGAAAATAACCCTGTATACAGTATTTATAACAAGTCAAAGCAACCCTGCTGATAAAACAAGGAGAACACGCAAATTCAAAGACTGTTGTCTTAGTGGTGTGAATGCACTTCTACACAGGCTGGAGTTCCATTGTGTGACATGGAGACCAGTCCTTTGGATGTGATTGTATGAACAGAGGAACTGTGTCGCAGTAGGTGCTGGCATGCAAAAGATCCCTCACTACTCAACGGCTCTGAGTGCTGAGTAGGTCAAAATTTGCAGCTCTCCACTGGCAAGTGGTGGGGTCTCCATATGAGAAAAAATTCTTGATAGGGACTTTAAACAACAAACAAACAATGTTACTGTTTTGTTTGTGTGTCCTTCAAGCATCTAAGTCAAGGTCATGAAGTCAAAATTGATTTACCTCTTTGAAGGTGTTGCTGGGTAATATATGAAGGTTATCTTTTTTCAAGTTTTAGGTCAAAGACCATCCGTCCAAATTAATATTTTTTGAAAAGTCTTTCCACAGGTAATGTACATGCAAATGAAATAATTAAGAAACCAGTTTCTTTACTCTGACAATGACATTAAGAAATTATGACCAGGGCAAAGGTAATTTTAATTTTTTTGAAAATAAGGCCAAACTTCAAGATAGTGGGATCAAAATGCTAAGCCTATATTGGAAAAGTTTTGTTACAGGTAATGTTCCTGTGAAAATGAAAGCCTTGACTTTCCTCATTTAAATTAATGCGAAGATTTAAGTTTTTCTGACAGATGGAGTGATAGACAGAGGAGACGGATATTGCATAGACAAAAATAATAAGATTTAATAACCCCTTGTGTTTGCAAAAGAAAGTGACAATAAGTATTTTTCACATCTGTATGGAAAACAAGAAAAACCCATTTATAATAACAAGATAAAGGTTGTTTATTACCTTGTGTTTAGAACTTAAAGCACTTGCACTTTTAGCTATGAATATAAATTATCCCATGTTTTAAACTTTACTCTGATGTCCCTGGCATTACCCAACAAACGAAACAGTAATTCCTTATATTTTTATTTCTGATGATGTGAAATAAAATGGTTAAAAATATTAATTTATTTAAAGCATGCTGTCAATAGATTTAAAATACAGGATGCTGGTTACAACCCTAGAAATTTAAAGAATGTTGGTATAGAAGTAATATGATCAAATCTTTATTCCAGTTTTCTCAAACAAAAAATGCTCAGAAAGCAAGCATGTTTTAATACTCTAATGACTAGATATCCTGAATAACATGTGTCATCCTTCAACAAGCATGGAAACTGGAAGTATTTCTATCTATTTCTTTAAAAAATAAAATCTTAGTGCTTATCATCTTCAAAATATATCTAAGACACGAAACGACATAATTTCAGAATAGGTTTTAGTTTTGGGATATGGGGGAATTGATCTAGTTTGTGATCAGAAACTAACATGACTTTTACATAACTTTAAGCATGTTTATGGTATTGTAAAAATGCATTAGTTTTCTGAAAATTTTTTTTGTTTGAGTTTGTATTATAGTCAGGTGACCATTCAAGCCCACCTAAATAGAGGAGAAATAATATATCAAGACTTGGGGGGGGGTACTTTTCTATGAATCTTCAAAACCTCAATTAAGGATATAAAACAAATCACCCAGGCGCGGATCCAGAAATTTTTTCCAGTGGGGGGTTAACCCCAGCCCCCCCCCCCCCCCCCCCCCCCCCCCCCCCCCCCCCCCCCCCGAAAAAAAATCCAACCCAGAAATATCTTGATAAGAAAGAAAAAAAATGTAAACTTGGCCAAACTTCAAAAACCTATTTCGCGGGAGGGGGGGGGGGGGGTAGTCGATGACTTCTAATGCTTCAAACCTTTGACTTCTCATACCAATTTAACACAAATTCACATTTACAAGGGGGGGTCTGCGTTTTCCGAGGGGGGGCCAAGGTAACTTTTTTCTTGCTTTTGTTTATAAATTTAATAACCTTGCAAATTCCAGGGGAGGTCTTGAACCTCCCCCAACCAACCCAAACCCAACCCCCCCTCTAGATCCGCACATGTCACCAACATTTTGTGAGAATGCAGCAGTAAATTTATTTTGTTATTTTGAACAAAATAAATTTACTGCTGCATTCTCACTAAGTGTTGGTGATCTGTTTTATACCTTTTAGGGTTTTAATGTGTGAAAACTACAATAGAGAAATTCTGTAATTAAATAACATATGTAACTTACATTAAATTCACGGTATATGCCAAGTTTGGGAAAATCTACCATCCATTTATTCTAAGGGACCATCTCAAAATACAGGTACATTTACTATTCAATTGGATTATATAGGAAAGTGCCAAATTTTGCACTTTAAAGCAAATCATACAAATACTTCCTTAGACTCTTTGCTCAAATTATAATATATGATGAGTAATACTGTATTGTACATTATATGTAAGAAACACAAAATTCTACTGTCTTGTTTCCAGAGCATCTCAAAATGCAAAAAATTCACAAATTTTCCTGTTTTTATTCTACTCCTCCCTATAGTTTTAGTCTGATTTCAATAAAGTTGGCACTCAAGTAGACTACATAAAGATATATAATTCTATTTAGGCCACACCAATTAAATTTCTTGTTCGTCGGATATTTGATGGGAAAAAAGTACGAGCGGGCAAGCGGTTAAATGATAATATTACTACTTTTTTGAAGGTAAAATTTTTAGGCGGAGCGTGAAAAAATTTGAGCGGACAATTATATTTTTTTCTGATTTGCAGAGTTAGCAGACTAAACAAACGATTAATAGAGCGGAAATGGAACAGGAAATAGCCCAAAATTTTTATGATGCTGGAAATTTAAATTAATATTATTTGTATAGTTTTGTTTAAATACGAGCGGGCGGGTCCGGCGAATAAGAAAATTTATTGGTGTGGCCTTATTGCTATATCAAAGTTTTAAGTCAAAGTGCTACTTTTCTTTTTCTTGGTTATAATTACAAACCAGCAGAGCTAAAGTCTATTCAGAGACTTCTGGTTTATATTAAATATTTCAATTTTAAAGAAACTATTTCAAGGTAATCTCATCATACCTCATACACTAATTAAAACAAATTTTCATGTTGCATTACTGATAAACCCGCAATGGGGCATTCATGTCCTATAAACATATTTCTAGTTTAATCACATTAAAATTAATCAAGTAAAAAAAATTATCTTTTGCTATTATTGTTTTTCCTCCATAACATGTGTTTAATTACAAAATTGTTAGCAGTAGAAATGTCTCCTAGTTTTCATTTTAACACATGCTTTTGACTTCACTGGGGCTGGGATGAGGTCCAGTAGAGAGATAGACAGGAAAATCAACCCAATAATGATCCCTCCCATAACCCCCATAGACGCGGCGGTGGGCCTCAAATCATTGGCACTGGATTTCCTCCGTACAGAGGACGATAGTTCATGCTTGACCAAGGACAGATTAGCTCGGATGTTGGCTACTTTAATCTCTAGTTCCCATGTTGTTAACGTACTGTTGGTACCACACACAGTGTAGCTATAACAACTGCTGTAGATTTCAGTCATATTGTAGGTAGTCCCTGTTGTGGATTGATGACTATTACTGGTCAGGTTTTGTGGTAGTGTGATGTTTTCAGGAGTCATAGTTGTAAAGTTTCCTGACGGATTTATGTTATCAGTGAATTGCTCATAGTCAGATGTGGTTAAACCTTCAGATATAGTAGTGATGTTCCACTGTTCTGTTGTGTTGGTCACACTAGTGGGAGCTTGAGAACTGCTGTAGATTTCAGTCATATTGTAGATTGTCCCTGTTGTTTGATGACTATTACTGGTCAGGTTTTGTGGTAATGTGATGTTTTCAGGAGTCATAGTTGTAAAGTTTCCTGACGGATTTATGTTATCAGTGAATTGCTCATAGTCAGATGTGGTTAAACCTTCAGATATAGTAGTGATGTTCCACATCTGTTCTGTTGTGTTGGTCACACTAGTGAGAGCTTGAGAACTGCTGTAGACTTCAGTCATGTTATAAAATGTCTCTGTTGTGGATTGATAGCTATTATTGGTCAAGTCTTGGGGTAGTGTGACGTTTTCAGTTGTTGTATTTATACCATTTTCAGAAGTATTCACATCATTATATGATTCCTGGTAGTCTGATGTGGTTAGCCCCTCATCTGCTATTGTGCTGTTCCACTGTTCAGTTGTGCTGGTCACATTATTGGGAGCTTGACAAATCGTGTTCCTCTGAGTAGGGGTGCACATCAAATCATTCCAGCCAGCACTTGCTGTGTTTATTTCCACACAGTTTCCATCTCCGTTTGGCTCACCCATGTCCCAGAAAGATTCCGTCAGGCTCTCTCCATCCATCCACTGAAACTCCCTACCACTGTGTGGGTAGGAGGTATTAGTCGCCAAGTAGATCCAGGCACTCTTTTTATCAATTAGTGTCAGGAATTCAATGAGATTGGCCAATTCCTTAGCATTCTTTGTCATTGCCATTGTGGCGCTGATGTTGGCACACAAATCGGCTGATGTTAAGAAATCCTCCGGATCCTCTAAATTTATATAACAGTGAGTCCAATCCGGCTTTCCAATCCAGGCAGCTTGATCCGGACAGGAGTATAACTGATAGACCTGAAGAACAAAAACCACTGCACAGGGGCTGTGCAAAAACTGCATCTTTTATCACATAGTTACAGTTAAGTTTTGGTCTCCAAAATAGGGATTCATTTCATTGTCAATTTGACATTTAATATTCAGCAATGACTTGAAAAGTTATGATGTAAATATTTGCCATCAATGATTGTATTGTGTTTAGTGAACAGAATAATATACAAATAGTAGATCAGTGGACAGCAATGAAAATAACAGGAAACTTAGTCCATTTACAGGTAAAAGAAATGGTCACTGTTCAATATTGATCTCTTGTCCAAAATCATAATCAATATACATCATGAATAGAAGATTTCCTGCTCTTCAAATAAGAGATGGATAGGATTTTGAGCAGTTTTCACACTTTATGATGTGATATTCATATCCCACCCTAAGATCAAGTGCCTTTTATTTACTCTGCCAGTCCTCTGAAATCAAATATAGTAAATAGGTATCATTCTATAATGCTAAATTTGATTTCTGAGACTTGTATTTTCATATTTCTGACGTTATAAGGCTACTGAAAGTGACAGCTTATTTCTAAATAGCTTGACACATGAGAATTCCATCTCTGTTGATAGTAATGGGTACTGCAAATGACAGTATTTTTACAAAGTTTATGTAAGGACATTGAATTGAAGCTCCTCTGTTTGTTGTTTTTATATCAGCTTAGTTTATATTTGACCAAATCTTCAGAACCTCAAGTGTTACCCATTTAGTAGGTGTAAAAATGTCTCATTATCATCTTTTGATCCTTCAATTGCATACATGCATACTATAAAAGTACCTTCAATGTGTTATTTTATAGTATGTAGGCAGTTGCTATCTTCAACAGAAAGTATATATAGATCTATATGGTGACAATCTAAAAAAAAAAATCTGCATAATTTTCTACCATGGGTTGAAAAAACTTACCGGTATGTGCCTGTGGAAAAGAAGCATGTGTGCCCGTTACTCTCTGTATAAAAATTGTTTGAATTTAATGTCTAGTAAACCAGCTAGCTTGTCTTGATATCAAGAACCACAGGGCCGAAAAGCTGAAACTTATGTGGGAGCATCCTGGGATAGTGTAGATTCTAAATTATCCAAATCATGAACCCTGGGGGAAGAGTGAGGTCACAATAGGTATTACAAAGGGGGGGGATCTGGTTAAGAACAGCATGGCTAAAGCTACTGAGGTGAGTGATGTGGCCCATGGGCCTCTTGTTTGAAAGGTTGTAGTCAACAGTTGTCAATACTTACCAATACCTATATTTCTCCATAGAGTTCTTTTTATGAGCTTTCTTTAGTAAGAGAGGAATAGCTCAAGTATAATGCAGATAATTGCCCTCTTAATCGCAATTGTTAGGAAGGAGGCAAGTTCATAAGCTGCAAAAAAAAAAAAAATCTGTTCCGTCTGTAAGTATAAGAATCATTCCTTTGTTATTCTTTTCACTTTAAAAACACAAAATTATCATTTTTATTTTATTAAGGGAAAGTCCTAATGTTCAGGGAAATGCAGTGCTGTCGTTGGGGGGTCTGGTGTTGGCCACACAGAAACATTGGGTTGACCTTGACCAGGTGACTCAAGGTCAGCTTGACGAGGTCAGGGAGTTTCAGCCTCAATCTCACTGGGTTGCTGTTGTCATGGATACACTGATGTCCTTGATGGATATGACCTTTCAGCCCAAAGGAAGCATATTGGGAATCTGTCAACAGGTAAGTAAAATATTTAGGAAGATCCATTAATAAAATTTCTAGATCTGTAAAAATGTTTCCTTTATTAAGATAAGATGGCAAAAAATCCTTTTAAAAATATTTTTCAAAGGAACAGCAGAGTCATAATTACCGTAAATCTGGAAATTTTTACGTCGATTTTATTTTGCGAATCCGGGTCAAAATGGTGTTGATTAATTTTTACGTTTCAAAATTTTGCGAATGACCACTACTTTGTTTACATTTTCTTATTGGTAATTTATTTTTGAGAAAAAATTTTTTGCGAATGCAATGAACTCGCAAATTTGCTAAAAATTTATCTACAGCAAAAATTTCCAGATTTACGGTAGTCATATACCGTATAGCGGGTTTTCTTGGCGGGTGTAAAATTTGGCATTTTGCCTGCTCAAATGTATGCCAGTAATTTTGGCGTAATTTATTTTAGCGGACACAAGGTTTCAGCTCTTTGCAGATGGACACTAAGAAGTCTTAGAGTACTGACTATTTTAGCGATTAAAATTTTAACGGACTATCGTCAAAACGGCAAAATAAGCCAAAATTAGCAACCCGGTAAAATAACCCGCTATACGGTATATAAAGAAGCATCCTTAGATAGTGTACATTTAAGTTGTTTAAGAAAAAGAATTTTCTAATGAACAAGAAGGGCCACAGTTACACAGGTGAGAATTGTAGCCCATGGGCCTTGTTGATTTCCTGCAATGTAATCGATTGGTTTGCAACTTCTCCAACACTGAAGATTTTCACTATGATATATCCCTTTAAGTTCTATCCAACCCTGACATGGTTTATATTGTCAGTTTTTTAATATACGTAGTTTTGGTTTTAATGTTCTTTTTTAAATTTTGGGGTCCTTTATATTCTGGATACTAGTAGATGTTTGAAAAGTTATTGAAAATATTGAATTTGATAGGTTTAAAAATTATGTGTTATAAGCATCCTTTGCAGGCAAACTGATAAATTTCAGTGAAATAACAGTTAGTTGCTGATATTTCCCCTAGATATTTGACCTATGTACCCACTACTTCCTTTTCAGAGGTCGGTCAGTGACAGGATGACTTGTAGTTTCCTTACACAGGCCTCCTCAGTCTTGGCTCTGAGCCAGCTTACACCAGTTATGATTAGCCAAGATGTTGACAGGATATTTGTGATTTTTGAGGCCCTGACAAAATGGCTACCAGGACAGCCGGAGGCACCAGAGGCACCGGTCCTACAACTGGCTTATGGTTTGGGTCTGGGATGTCTTCTGGGAAAGCTGTCAGAGGAACACTTCATGGAAACTTGTGGATCCAAAGTAATCGGTTTTTGTCATGTTTGTACCCTAGGTATAACATGTCACTCAATATTTAGGCAATTTCATGATAATATGTTTTATGGTGTGATTGTTTGAGTGAGTGCAGATTCACACAGTTAAGTTATACAACACTTGCAAATTTGATCCAGGATCCTTCTCTTTAAACTTAAAATGCACAAGACACAGGCTAAACTGTGATGTCATGTGACATTGTATTTATGTTGCATATCTGTGACAGAATCTGAATAGGGCCAAGTGCAATATCTTAACAAAGGGCATTATAGTTTTTATTTCTTTTAAGCTCCCTCCATAAATGAAATCTTTATTAAATGAAACTTATATGGAGAAAATGAACAGTACTCAAGCTCAAAAGTATTGATTGATAAAAGTTGAAGTCATCACATTTATCATTAAGCTTGGTTTTGAGATTACCATGAGCATCTTTTTCAAGTAAAATATCTAGATATTAAACTGCTGTGTCAGACTCTGTAGTATCTTTTATTTTTAGCTCACCGGGATATATCATATCAATATAAGAATGGAAATAACCGTTTTTCATTGACCATATGTTGTCAATATATATCTAAATGTTGAGCTGAAAGCCACAGAAAGTGTTCTCTTCTTTTCACTTATAAGATTTTGGACAAATTCTGCTTCATATGAATACAAAAAAAAAGGTTTGATAATAACAGGGCACAGTTGGTACCCATGGAAATTCTAATATATTGTTGGAATACCTGGCCTCCAGAAACAACATAGATATTGAAATCAGAAACTCAAGCATCTTTGTAATATCAATTTCAAAGTTCATGTGTATACATTCAGAATGTTTTTTCTGACATTTTTATTAAAATAAAATTAAAATAGCCAATGTTAACATTGTAAGTAAAATATCAACAATTCAGAGTTGTGAAACATAATAAATGATATAAACTTGATGGGAAAAGAAGATTAAATCAAAATATTTCAATATTTTGAAAAAAGAGAATTCAAAACTACCAGGTAAAGGTATTTGACCCTATATGAGGCTTGCTCACAAATTCTTTTTAATGCCTATCACAAGCTGTTAACCTTTGATATGTCTTAGCTTTGTCTTAACTTGATAATTAAATTATCTAAAAAATTCATTTAATTATCACATTATCAAACATCCTCCCCTGTGCCCATAGTTTATTGACTTCTCATGAATCATACTGAAGTGTTTTGGAATAAACTGGAAATGTACCGTATATACTTGCCTATAAGTGGGTTGTATTTTTAGGGTTATTTTGAAGGGATTCGTCATTGACCCGCTAGTTGGTTCACCATTTTTATATGCCCATCTTAAGACGGGACGTATTATGTTATAGTGTTTGTGTCCGTCCGTCTGTTAGCTTTTTCGTTTCTGACTCATAACTTTAATACTATAAGGCCTAGGATTATCAAACTTTGTCAGCTGATGCATCTTGGGTCGAAGGTGTGTCGCGCATTCAAAGTAGGTCCCCCTGACCTTTACTTAAAGCCGCTTGGTCCGATTCTAATCTCTAAAAATATATATTCGTTTTTCTTCTTGAAAAATAGTTGTCCATAAATTGTTTCACTTTTTGTCAAATTTTATCCCCAAAGTCTTTTTCTTTCAAAAGATATCAAAATTCAGAAGTAAAAAAAAAAATTTTTGTTAGGTCACACAAAAAATAATCCTATGTTGATATCACGTGAAATCACCTTCGAAAAATTAAATTTATCGCTTACATGTATCTCATGAAGAACGAACCCGAGCATTTTTTTCACAACAAAGTACTTATACCTGTACATGGACAATATTCTAGCCTTCGTTACTAAATTTCCTTTAAAATAAATATCTGATTTTCCTTTATTCTTTAAATATGCATATTGATATAAAAATTACTATGGATTATATTCAATGATTTAGGCTTCTACTAATGAAAGAAATAATACTTGGGTTTGAATTATCCTCATAATAAGATAAAACCGATAAATTTATTTTTTTCAAAAGTGACTTCACAACAGATCTTAACTTCCTGTCAGGAACTTCTGTTTGTCAATAAGGTTTTTGATCTATGTTTTCCACGTAAGGATTGTTGTAATAAACTATTAAATCAATCTTATAATTTATTTTTGTACATTATCTATGTAATGACATACTTTTATTGTGTGAGATAATATGTGCCTGTTTCGGATTAAGCGGCTTTAAGAAGTTATAGCCAAATATGGAAAAATCCTTTCCAGCACCTGACTAGAAAACTTAGAATCGTTTATGCATCTTAGGTAGAAGGTGTGTCGCGACCTATTTCAAGGTCACTGTGACCTTTAATTTAAGGGAAATTTGAAAAAAAAAAAAAATTGTGTCTTTTTACTTTTCATTTACACATCCCAAAAAATGTAAAAGTTTTGCAGTATCCTTATTTAAAAAATGTTAAATCAAGAAAAAATATTTTTTTTCTGCATGTACTTTACAGCAATCTATAACAAATATACCCCCTCCTTAGCATTCTGTCACAAAAGCTGAAAGATTTTTTCTGAGTTTTGTATTTCTTTCCATGCAAGTTAATTCTTATAACAAGAACAGTTTCATTTGTCAGAAATGGTCAAATTTCGGCAACAGAATAAACAGATAAAAATATCCTTTCCAAACATGAGCATGGCGACCATCAAAACCCAAATCTTCTGTCTCGGGAAAGACGTTTATACAAGGTGGATAAAGAATGGATGCCTCCTTTTTATCATATCTAATATGTTTAAAATCTAAAGTAAACAGTATCCTAAGTATTTAATAATTATATCATTGTTGAGATAGTTTGCGAACTTTTTGATCACCCCTGGTAGACCAAATAAACTCCCCAAAAATGACTTATTATACTGAATATTTTTAAAAAACAAATCTCTGAAATTATTTTAAATAACCTGATGAAAAATTTTATATCGTTTTAATTTTTAAAAAAAATACTGTTGAAACACAAATTTTCATGGGCATAAAGTTTTGCTGCTAACTGTTGTTCATGATAAACTTTGCTTTGGGATGGTGTAGATGTGAAAATCAGGAAATGAGTCAGATAAGATTATGAAAGGATGGAACCATCTGAGGTGTGATAAGTATTATTATTGAATATTAAATATTTACATTCAGTGTAATTTTCTTTATGAAATCCATGACGTTCAAATCTCTATAACACACGCGAAACCTTGTCACCGCGCGTTAGAATACACAGTAGGAACTATATGCATTTTCAAGACTTTATGAACACCAAAATGTACATTGTTTGACACAATTTAATTTTAAAAGATGAACCCTGTTGTCGTAATTCTAAAGTGAGTGTGAAAAAAATATAAAATATTATTGGAAGTTACTTTTAAAATTTTTATTTAACGTGCAATTTGGTTTTTGTGGCTATATTTTAAAAATAAAATTGGTTTGAAAATACTTAAGAGAGGGTTGGGGCTCTCATAAAGTTACGATAGATTTTGCACTTAGGACTTTCTGAAGAATTTTTGTGAAAACGACTTTTATCGTAAGTTTTCACTTCAGATAAAAATATGTCATATGATTTTCTGTGAAAATGGCTGCAGGAATTTTGGTGCTCTCTGATTGGTCTTGACGCCTTTTCCTGAGATGTACCTCAGAGTGAGTTCACCTCATATGAGGTTTATTCGGGTTTTCCTTCTTGACCAACCATAGATATGCTTATAGTTTTTTCGACCAGTCAGATTGTGTGTTTCAAAACGTGTCGGTGTGAATGCAAACATGTCAGATGCCAGTACCAAGGAGATTAAATGCCTTTGAAAGTAAATGGTTGAGTATTTATTGTTTAATAATATTGTTTTCAATTTTTTTAACTACTTGTTGTTAATTAGATACATCGTGACAATTATACTATGGGTATTTATATTTCACGGAGACAAGATTGAAAGTGTCAAAATTGTTGTAAAATTCCTGATCATTCAATAAAACGGTTATTGACTTTTGAATTCGGTCTACTTGTGACATACAGACCTTCGGCCTCGGTCAACCAATACCTGACCAGGTCTGTAAAGTCACGAGTAGACCTCATCAAAAGTCAATAATTGTATATTATCATATACTTAGTAGTAAATATACCGATCTGCACGGTGTGATACGGGTGACATCACAATACCCATATCACGGACCGGTCCAAAAAGCCATATCACGTATCGGACCGACGGGCCGAAAAGCCATATCAAACCGGAAGTAACGTTTGTATTAAGTTTAAAAGTTAAATTACTTGATTTTATTTAAATATTCGTATAAAATAATTCTTTAATGACATGTCTTATTTTTTTTTCCAAATACCTAAAATTTGGCTCTATTAGATTTTAAAGAAAACTCACAAACAAGCACAAACATTCTTCAACCACCATATGTGAACTCGCATATGAGGTATTGTAAATATATGATAAATAGAATACTACATACTAAAATCCATATCATATGTCACATCAGCCCTCGGGCCCCATATCAGCCCTCGGGCCTTCGGCCCTCGGGCTGATATGAGGCCACTCAGGCTGATATGACATATGATATGGATTTTAGTATGTAATATTCTCTATGTATTAACTATAAAACCCTACCTAAACCACACAGATATTACAGTGGAAATAGATTAAGAACATTCACACAAAAAATGTCAAACAGAGGCATTGACATGTGAATAATGACATGTGTAGAACCAAACAATTTAGAACCACAAATCAAACTTCTACGATACATTCAATGATTCAGGGAAGCAAGGATATGTGAATGGGATGGGAATAACCAAGAAACAGTTGGAAATTAACGTGGGTGGGAATAAACAAGAAACAGTAGGAGATGACTATGGGTGGGGATAACCAAGAAACAGTAGAAGATAACTGTGGGGGGGGGGGGGGGTTAACCAAGAAACATGAGGAGATAACTGTGGGAGGGGATAACCAAGAAACAGTAGGAGATAACTGATTGTTAGGATAACCAAGAAACAGTAGGAGATAACTGATTGTTAGGATAA